ATTTGAGAATAACATACATGACATTAACAATATTAAACTAACTTCGTTTACATAAAATTTTAAATGTGTATACAACATACCTATGAATAAAGCATAGCATTTTTCGTACAATGTTAAATTTATTAGCACTCCATTTCACAAATGACATTATAGATCTGGAAGCTCTTCCTTACATACCCTCAATAGATGGAGTAACAGCTCTGTTGGATGCAGGACTGGCAGGCGTAGGAGATGCAGCTGGAAGAGGCATCGCAACAGCTTCAGTTGGAATAATACCAGCTTGGGGAGAAGCAAGAACTGGTCCACTAGGAGTATTTCCAATACTGTTTTGTCTGGGAGACCTAGGTCTGTGAGTTTTAGGGGATAATCTTGGAACTAGAAGAAAAATAAAAGTTAACCATTACATTCTCAGCTCAAATGTCACCTCCTCAAAACAGGTGTCTTGAGATGATCTAGGTAAAACAGTCCTATCTGATCTCCATTCCCAATGACTCTTTATCCCATCACTCTGTTTCCTTTTCCAAAGTCTTAGGAATAGTGGTGGTGACTGAGAATATAAATATCTGAAGAACAAGAGCAATTACTAATAACAAAGCACAAGTGGAGTTTCCCTTTCTAACTAAATTAATTCTAAACATGGTATTTTAAATTGTTAGAAACTAGATTTCTAAGGCAAGATTAACATCGCTTAAAACAAGTTGGCAACATTCTCTACTAAAAAGTGAGACTGTTTTTCTAAAAAAAAGTATGTGTGTGGGAGAATCCCTAAGAAATAGGCTTATTTGTTACTCCTTCAAATAATAAACTCAAATATCTTTTGGCAGCTTGCAGCCAATCCTGTATGCTCTTTCTTGCCACAGCAAGATCTATTTTGCAGTAACTAAGGAAATCAGGGATCCAATTTAGCCAAAGGGAAAGATAATTTAAGCACGGTTCATACGGCACAACTTCAAAATAAATATCTAATAGGTTTCATAGTTCATTATAAATCCATGTAGAGCTCAGAGTCAAGGTTTAGGGAAAAAAGTTCGATTTGCTTCACGTTAATGGTTCTTTATTTTTTTAAGTCACAAGGGTCACAGAAGGAAGCTATTACTCAACAATTGCCATTTTTCCAATTAGTGTGAAGAGCAAACCTGTAACACTGTTCTGCATGTATCTCTAACAATTATGTTTTTCCTCTCTCACCTCTATAATCATGTTTTATTCTCAAAATTAATTCCCAAATTATTTGAGTATGTCAACTGATTAATGGGCCAACAAAAGAAATAGATTTTTAGAAATTCTATTCTGTTAACTGAATTGTTATTTCCTTACAATTGAAGACCAAAAAACAGAAAGTGCCAAAGGAATTTATCATATAATTATGCATAGGTGAAGCTGAGCAGTGTATATCCATTAAGACATTTAATAACATTGTTTATTTTTATTTTAGCTTAAGTATCTTTTTTTCTTTTAAAGATTCTATGCACTAATTACAATATAGGCTGTGACCAAAAACGCCACCATCACTGCATGCTCTAACTTTCCAGTAATCATGGAAACAAAACATAAGTAGCAAAAACAGTCTTAGCCTAATTATAAGATCTTGTCAAAGTGTATTTTTTACACTTTTATAGCTGTCAGCACATTCTTCAGGCTAGTCACAGATTAAACCTTGAGCCTCTCATGTGTGTCTGATATTCCTTATAAAGGAAATATCATCAGGAACTAGTGTCATATACAGATGGTATGGAAACACACAGCACTGCTAAGCCCAAAATAAATGTTCATGGAATGAATCAAGTTGCTAAGAAGATAGAAAAATGGATCCCACCAAACAGTGTTATATACTGTATTTGACTTATATCTGAGTGGTACTTTATAAAAAAAACTATAAAAAGTATCCTTGTACTTGTGAGTACCACGAATTTCATCACAAGTCCATAAAGTAGACTGGGCAAAATTATTTTACTCATTGAGAAAACTGAAATCTAGAATGATTTGAATGATTTGCTCTAGAATATGGTGACAGTAAGTGGTAGAGCACAGAATAAAAATAATAGGTTTTCCAATTCTTGGTTACTCCATTTTTAATATATACACTTACTTACACTTCCTCAAACAGAACTTGAGCTCAGCCCTCTTTATATCTAGTAGAATTACAAAATAAACAGTCATTATGTCCAAGCCAAGTGTACCTACCCCCACTGACCACTGATGACCACGTGCCCCCTGCGGGGCTGGTCCTTGCTGTTGGAGGAGCAGCTGCTTCACTTGGTGGGGTATGGGATACAAATTCTAGGCCACTGGAAATGGAACCCCTCCCAGCAGAAACTCTGTGATTTCGAGGGTGTCGCTGAGCCTTTGGGGACATCCTTGGAGGCCCTAAGAAAGGAACAGTGAATATCACATAAATGCCACAATGTCCATTAGTATTACTTTTTCTGCTAAACATACGCACATGACATTTGCACACACTCCATCCTCTCTCTCTCTAGTTTTTCCTTGGTTTAAAAAAAAAAGAAAAAAAAGGCATACATATTTTTTGACTGTTCTTTCAGAATTATTTTGTAGAATGCCACAAAGTTTTATAAATAAAATTTTATTTCTATTTATTTTTAAAGAAAGGGAAAGATGAAATTGGTGGTAAGAAATCAAACAGTAAGATGTCATAACTCTTCAAAGATTTCAGCAATTTGTTTAACCTATATCCATTACTTGTAAGCATATAAAAATAAACATAACAAAATGTTACTAGAAGTATGGCTACATGATGGAATAATTTTTATTTTATCATATACTTTTGCTTTGTCTCAAATTTTCTATATTACTTCTAAAATTACAAAAAAAAAATAATATTTTTAAGCAAAGACCATTAACCCCTATATATCTTTATATTACTAAAATATAAGTACATACCCTTCTTAAATTTCTCAGAAATCTTAGTTTATCTACCTCTTCTGCCATGGTTATCAATTTATAACCCATGGCTTAAAACAGCCCTCATCTGTAAGCAGTTCCTTAGACTTAACAGGCTGTAAGCTGAAAATTCTACTGTTAAGGCATGACAATTTTAAGCCAAGACTAATTGATATTTGGAAAAGAAATTTACACTATATGAGTTATCAAAATTCTATATCCCATTAGTGATTTCTATTTCTAAAGATGACTACTATGCATTCAAACAAAACTGTCAGATGAAAACTAGACAGAACGGCTCTCCCCAGAGAAGCCTGACGATGATAACACTTGACAAAACTCATTCTTAATGTCAAGCCCAGGCTCCTCACTCTTGCTGCCAAACTCTTGGATGTTAATGTTATACATTACAGTTTTCAACTGGAGATATGATTTATATCAAAGAATGACTTAAGAATTTGGTATGTGCACAATTACACATATTTTTTTTACATCCCTTTTAGAAAAAGACCAAGAAAGTAGGTTGGCATAGTTCACCGAAATCAAATTGTAACTTATTAAGCACAGAAAATCACTATACTTGATATTTTTAATTTTGAAGTTCACACTTAAAAATGCTTGTTTCACCTAACTACATGATTAGAAAACGTTTTAATTCAAATTATTTAAAAAGAAAAATTGAATGTAGCATCCCTGAATATGCAGCAGGTACACTTCTGTGTGAAAGGTCCACAAGAAGTTCTTAAATCTTACTGTAGTGAAGGAGTCCTGTTTTATCTAATATATTAGCATATAAACATTACTTATTCAAGCCATGGATTATAACAAATACTTCAAAAGAATCTAACTTTTTGTTTAGTGGCCACCATTACAGGCACATTTGAGTAAAGAAGTCAACTTGAAAATCAGTGCACTGTGCTGCTGAACGTTAGCCACTTTAGCCAAGATCACATGACCTCCCTGACTGGATGGCAACAGTTTATTAAAAAGCAGCCAACATAGTTTTCTCCAGGGAAGCACCTTATGCCAGAAAATTGTACTAGTCTCAACATAAGCTATATCGATTGCAATTCAAAAGAACAAATTAGATTGAAATTTTAACCCAAATACTCTGAACATCAAAAGGACATTGTCATTCAGAAAACTTGTTTTTAATTTATGCTGTTTAAATCGAAATGTGACCTTTCTATAATACATCCATATATTTGATATGTAACAATGGTGAACTGGCATCAAAGATTGAATGAGAATTACAGGATTTTATATTTTCTTTTTTTTGACAAAAAAACCCTTAAAGATTAAAATTCATTCATGGTTTTTATTAACAATTTTATCTTAGATTAAGGACTTCTTCTACATTAAAGCAGACTTTCACTATAAAATACTGCAAAGCTAATTTTTTGACTTCCCCAAACATAAAACCAAACTCTGTATTGTAATCTAAGGGGCAACACACAAAGGAAGCTACATGGAATGTCCCTCTCAAAAAAGACCCCTGAACCACCATTCCTGCCTACGGCCAATAGGTAGGTTCACTAGTACCTTGGCCAAGGAGCTGTAAAATGATAGGTTCTACAATAAGCCCAAGATTGGGTGAAGAAAGATCACTGTTTACCATTAAGCACTGTATACAGTGTAAACAGGGAGGGAGAGGACCCCGGGGCAGAGGCAGACCTTCTGGGGCCATAAAGGAGCATTATTACCAAAAGGAGATAAACCCCCATTCTTATAAATTCAGGATAGTTCATAGCTTCACACAGCATTTATTAAATTTCTCTCTAATGAACAAAAGGTTAATAGAAATAGTTTTAATAAACTAAAGTTAAAACACAGAAATTATAGGTTATCAAATAATGAAGAGGAAACTATTTTGTAATTATAAACTCACATAGGAGTTAAACAAAGACAAACAAAAACATGAACAAATTGTGGTATTGTACCTTCTGAAGACATGCGTTTAGGCATAGACG